GGGGATGTCTTGCAGGAAGTGAGCCTTGCCAGCTGAAGCAGGGAACTGGCTAAGGCAGCTGCACCCTGGTCCAACCATCACAAAGCAAGAGACTGGAGAACTAGATCAGCAAAGCTCACAGAGCTATTGATAAAGCTGATCTAGTTCTCCACCCTTCAATCACTCCCACATGTGTGTATTGGCCAGGTTGGCACAATAAACCTTAACTACCTCAAACATCAACAGGCCTTTTTCCTAGGGCACCTCAGAATAGACTTGACACTTCCATCCTTTTGGTTAGTAGATGAGTTAGTGACTTGAAAAAGCATTAATCATTTGTGCATCCCAGGGGTTCTTTAGACTTCATCTATTCTACTTTTATTCAGTAAACAGTGAAGAGTCCCACTCACTGCCATCAAGTTGACGATGAGTAAGAAACCCTGTCCTGCTCCCTGGGAGTGGTTGGTGATTTTGAATGCCACCTTGCAGACAGCAGCCCAATGAATAACCACTATGCCCCAGGGCTCCCATTGAAGAGCAAGTGGGACTTTCAAAAATGGAAACAAACCATGCTTGGAAGGCTGCAGAGTTCTGGTAGAATTTGCACCCTTGGAAATACCTTCATCACCATGCAAACAGATTTGCACTTAGAGTTTTCCTTACAGTGATGAACAACATGGAGAGTGAGTTACAAATGTGTTTGCCATATAGTGGAATATTAGAATGGCAGGCCTTCCCTTTAAAATTTGAGAAAGGATGAAATTGGGGAAATAATGAAGTAATACAATTTATACTGAGAGTCATGAAATAGCAGATTTTGGATATTCCAGGAAAATTGAAAGTGGAAATGGCTTCTGATATGTGGATCCATGGTGGGATGTTAGGAAATGTTAGTATGGTTCAGGTTTTGCGCAATCCTATTCTTAGAGTTCCATTTCCAACTCTTGGTGGTGTGCCTTCAACAGTCTTACACTAATAACGTACCCTTCTCTATCTGTGCTGTCCAAAGGCATCCACCTGTGGAAGACACACTTTCTGGTGTGAGTGGTTTTCCACTCCAAAATGCCTACGGACTGATATTTTAAGGGAATTTGACGCATGCAATAAGATAGGAAATAATATCCTTCATTAGTTCTGCTTGGGTACTAGAGTATTAGGGTAGATGTGTGACTAATGTTAGTTTGGGCTAATCTCAAGAGAGTTTTCAGGAAAATTCTCTTGACCATACACTGGCAAACTATGAACAATTGGTGGCGTGGCTTCCCACATCAGTGCACCAGTAAGAAAAACTGGCAGGTGTGTTGCATTAGACGAATATGCTTCAACCGACTTCTTCAACATTAAAAAAAAAAAAAGAGGATATTTTGATGATGAAGGTGTGCCTGACCCAAGCTGTGGTCTTTTTAATTGTCAGATACACATGTGAAAACCCAGCAATTCAAAAGGAAGACAAAAGAATTACCACCTGGAACTTACATTTTTCTGATACTGCCAGAAAAAATGAACAGATTAGTCATATAAAGGCAACCAGAATATTCCTTAGAATTAAGAACGCTGAAATCTCGCTTACTTTGTACATATCATCAGGAAGGACCAACTTTTAGGAAAGACCATTTGGCTTGGCAGAAGAGAGGTCAGTGAACACGAGGGGTCCTTCACGAAGCGGAGTGACGCAAGTCTGCGACGACGACGACGAACTCCAGCGCACCAAACAGCAGTAGGCGGCGCAGGAAAAGGCGAGGCGTTGCTCTGCCGTGTGTGAAGTCCCCATGTTAGAGATGCCTAGACAGCAACTAACAGACTTTTCTTTTTAACACTACTGGAGCCCTACCCAAAGATCCCTGGTGGCTTAATGAATTAAGCTTCTGGCTCCTAACAGCAAGGCCCCTGGTCCAAGCCAGCTGCTCTATAGGAGCAAGATGAGGCAGAATGTTCCCATAAAGATTTATAGTCTCGAAAACCCTATACAGCTGTTCTACTTTACCCTATAGGGTCATAGGGTTTGGAACGGACCATATGGCTATGGCTTTGTTTGGTTTTACTTGAGCAGTGCCTTAATTCAAATAGAACGCATACATCATTTTTTCCTCCTACCTCCTTTTCTCCCTCGTGTCTAGTAATCATTGTTGTGTCCACTTCTGCT